ACCCTTTTCCTGTATCTTCTCATTCTCTCTCCTTCTCATCCCCTTCCAATACAACTAAGATGATCCATTATCTCATGCTTCTTCTTTTCTTTCGCCCTTTTCCTGTATCTTCTCATCCTCTCCCTCATCCCTTCCAATACAACTAAGATGATCCATTATGTCATGCCTCTGCTTTTCTCTCACCCTTTTCCTGTATCTTCTCATTCTCTCCCTCATCCCTTCCAATACAACTAAGATGATCCATTATCTCATGCTTCTTCTTTTCTTTCGCCCTTTTCCTGTATCTTCTCATCCTCTCCCTCATCCTTCCAATACAACTAAGATGATCCATTATCTCATGCCTCTCTCTTTTCTCTCACCTTTTTTCCTGTATCTTCTCATCTCATCTCTCCTCATCCTTCAATACAACTAAGATGATCCATTATCTCATGCCTCTGGTTTTCTCTCACCCCTTTTCCTGTATCTTCTCATCCTCTCCCTCATCCCTTCCAATACAACTAAGATGATCCATTATCTCATGCTTCTTCTTTTCTTTCGCCCTTTTCCTGTATCTTCTCATCCTCTCCCTCATCCCTTCCAATACAACTAAGATGATCCATTATCTCATGCCTCTGCTTTTCTCTCTTTTCTTTCACCCTTTTCCTGTATCTTCTCATCCTCTCCCTCATCCCTTCCATGCCTCCTTCTCTACAACTAAGATGATCCATTATCTCATGCCTCTTCTTTTTCTTTTCTGTATCTTTTCTTCTCCTCCTCCCTCATTTTACAACTAAGATGATCCATTATCTCATGCTCATCTTTTCTCTCACCCTTTTCCTTCTCATCCCTTCCTTCAATACAACTAAGATGATCCATTATCTCATGCTTCTTCTTTTCTTTCGCCCTTTTCCTGTATCTTCTCATCCTCTCCCTCATCCCTTCCAATACAACTAAGATGATCCATTATCTCATGCCTCTGGTCTTCTCTCACCCTTTTCCTGTATCTTCTCATCCTCTCCCTCATCCCTTCCAATACAACTAAGATGATCCATTATCTCATGCTTCTTCTTTTCTTTCGCCCTTTTCCTGTATCTTCTCATCCTCTCCTCATCCCTTCAATACAACTAAGATGATCCATTATCTATCTTTTCTCTCACCCTTTTCTTCTTCTCATTCTCTCCCTCATCCCTTTACCTAAGATGATCCATTATCTTCTCTGGTCTTCTCTTTCCCCTTTGCCTATCTTCTCATTCTCTCCCTCATCCCAATACAACTAAGATGATCCATTATCTCATGCCTCTCTTCTTCTCTTCCCCTTTTCCTGTATCTTCTCATCCTCTCCCTCATCCCTTCCAATACAACTAAGATGATCCATTATCTCATGCTTCTTCTTTTCTTTCGCCCTTTTCCTGTATCTTCTCATCCTCTCCCTCATCCCTTCCAATACAACTAAGATGATCCATTATCTCATGCCTCTGCTTTTCTCTCCCCCTTTTCCTGTATCTTCTCATTTCTCCCTCATCCCTTTTCCATTATCTCATGCTTCTTCTTTTCTCTCTCTATCTTCTCATCCTCTCCCTCATCCTTCAATACAACTAAGATGATCCATTATCTCATGCCTCTTCTTTTCTCTCACCCCTTTTCCTGTATCTTCTCATCCTCTCCCTCATCCCTTCCAATACAACTAAGATGATCCATTATCTCATGCTTTTTCTCTGGTCTTTCTTCTCTCTCTCCCTTTTCCTGTGATCTTCTCATCCTCTCCCTCATCCTTCCAATACAACTAAGATGATCCATTATCTCATGCCTCTGGTCTTCTCTCACCCCCTTTTCCTGTATCTTCTCATCCTCTCCCTCATCCCTTCCAATACAACTAAGATGATCCATTATCTCATGCTTCTTCTTTTTTTCACCCTTTTCCTGTATCTTCTCATCCTCTCCCTCATCCCTTCCAATACAACTAAGATGATCCATTATCTCATGCCTCTTCTTTTCTCTCACCCCTTTTCCTGTATCTTCTCATCCTCTCCCTCATCCTTCAATACAACTAAGATGATCCATTATCTCATGCCTCTTCTTTTCTCTCACCCTTTTCCTGTATCTTCTCATTCTCTCCTCATCCCTTTCCTAAGATGATCCTTCTCATTCTCTCCTCTCACCCTTTTCCTGTATCTTCCCTCCTTATCCTTCAATACAACTAAGATGATCCATTATCTCATGCTTCTTCTTTTCTTTCACCCCTTTTCCTGTATCTTTCATCCTCTCCCTCATCCTTTCTAAGATGATCCATTATCTCATGCCTCTTCTTTTCTTTCGCCCTTTTCCTGTATCTTCCTCCTCTCCCTCATCCCTTCCAATACAACTAAGATGATCCATTATCTCATGCTTCTTCTTTTCTTTCGCCCTTTTCCTGTATCTTCTCATCCTCTCCCTCATCCCTTCCAATACAACTAAGATGATCCATTATCTCATGCTTCTTCTTTTCTTTCGCCCTTTTCCTGTATCTTCTCATTCTCTCCCTCATCCCTTCCAATACAACTAAGATGATCATTATCTTATCTCACCCTTTTCCTGTATCTTCTCATCCTCTCCCTCATCCCTTTTCCATTATCTCTCATGCTTCCTTTTTTCACCCCTGTATCTTCTCATCCTCTCCCTCATCCCTTCCAATACAACTAAGATGATCCATTATCTCATGCTTCTTCTTTTCTCTCACCCCTTTTCCTGTATCTTCTCATCCTCTCCCTCATCCCTTCCAATACAACTAAGATGATCCATTATCTCATGCCTCTGGTCTTCTCTCACCCTTTTCCTGTATCTTCTCATTCTCTCCCCATCCTTTTCCTGTGATCCATTATCTCATGCCTCTTCTTTTCTCTCACCCTTTTTCCCTTCTCATCCTCTCTCCCTCATCCTTCCAATACAACTAAGATGATCCATTATCTCATTATCTCATGCCTCTGGTCTTCTCTCACCCCTTTTCCTGTATCTTCTCATTCTCTCCTCATCCCTTCCAATACAACTAAGATGATCCATTATCTCATGCCTCTTCTTTTCTTTCACCCCTTTTCCTGTATCTTCTCATCCTCTCCCTCATCCCTTCCAATACAACTAAGATGATCCATTATCTCATGCTTCTTCTTTTCTTTCGCCCTTTTCCTGTATCTTCTCATCCTCTCCCTCATCCCTTCCAATACAACTAAGATGATCCATTATCTCATGCTTCTTCTTTTCTTCTCTCACCCCTTTTCCTGTATCTTCTCATCCTCTCCCTCATCCCTTCCAATACAACTAAGATGATCCATTATCCATTATCTTTTCTTTGCCCTTTTCCTGTATCTTCTTTTCCCTTCAATACAACTAAGATGATCCATTATCTCATGCTTCTTCTTTTCTTTCGCCCTTTTCCTGTATCTTCTCATCCTCTCCCTCATCCCTTCCAATACAACTAAGATGATCCATTATCTCATGCCTCTGGTCTTCTCTCACCCTTTTCCTGTATCTTCTCATCCTCTCCCTCATCCCTTCCAATACAACAAAAGATGATCCATTATCTCATGCCTCTGGTCTTCTCTCACCTTTTCCTGTATCTTCTCATCCTCTCCCTCATCCCTTCAATACAACTAAGATGATCCATTATCTCATGCCTCTTCTTTTCTCTCCCTTTTCCTGTATCTTCTCATCCTCTCCCTCATCCCTTCCAATACAACTAAGATGATCCATTATCTCATGCTTCTTCTTTCTCACCCCTTTTCCTGTATCTTCTCATCCTCTCCCTCATCCCTTCAATACAACTAAGATGATCCATTATCTCATGCCTTCTTCCTCTCCTTTTTTTTCTCTCACCCTTTTCCAATACAACTAAGATCCTCTCATTCTCCTCATCCTTCCCAATCCCTTCCAACTAAGATGATCCATTATCTCATGCTTCTTCTTTTCTTTCGCCCTTTTCCTGTATCTTCTCATCCTCTCCCTCATCCCTTCCAATACAACTAAGATGATCCATTATCTCATGCTTCTTCTTTTCTTTCGCCCTTTTCCTGTATCTTCTCATCCTCTCCCTCATCCCTTCCAATACAACTAAGATGATCCATTATCTCATGCCTCTGGTCTTCTCTCACCCTTTTCCTGTATCTTCTCATCCTCTCCCTCATCCCTTCCAATACAACTAAGATGATCCATTATCTCATGCCTCTGGTCTTCTCTCACCCTTTGCCTGTATCTTCTCATCCTCTCCCTCATCCCTTCCAATACAACTAAGATGATCCATTATCTCATGCCTCTGCTTTTCTCTCACCCTTTTCCTGTATCTTCTCATTCTCTCCCTCATCCCTTCAATACAACTAAGATGATCCATTATCTCATGTCTTTTCTCTCTATCTTTTTCTCTCTCATCCCTTTTCAACTAAGATGATCCATTATCTCATCTCTCTCCCTCATCCCTTCAATACAACTAAGATGATCCATTATCTCATGCCTCTGCTTTTTTTCTTCACCCTTTTCTTATCTTCTCATTCTCCTTTCCTTCCAATACAACTAAGATGATCCATTATCTCATGCCTCTGCTTTCTCTCTCCCCTTTTCCTGTATCTTCTCATCCTCTCCCTCACAACTAAGATGATCCATTATCTCATGCCTCTTCTTTTTCTCTCACCCTTTTCCTGTATCTTCTCATCCTCTCCTCATCCCTTCCAATACAACTAAGATGATCCATTATCTCATGCCTCTTCTTTTCTCTCACCCTTTTCCTGTATCTTCTCATCCTCTCATCCCTCATCCCTTCCATTATCTCAAAAGATGATCCATTAAGACCCTTTTCCTGTCTCTCATTCTCCCTCATCCTTCTACAACTAAGATGATCCATTATCTCATGCCTCCTTCTCTCCCCTTTTCCTGTATCTTTCATCTTCTCACCTCATTTCCAATACAACTAAGATGATCCATTATCTCATGCCTCTGGTTTTCTTTCACCCCTTTTCTGTATCTTCTCATCTCTCCTCATCCCTTCCAATACAACTAAGATGATCCATTATCTCATGCCTCTTCTTTTCTCTCACCCCTTTTCCTGTATCTTCTCATCCTCTCCCTCATCCCTTCCAATACAACTAAGATGATCCATTATCTCATGCTTCTTCTTTCTTCGCCCTTTTTTCTTCTCATCCTCTCCCATCCTTTACAACTAAGATATCCATTTCTCATGCCTCTGGTCTTCTCTCTTTGCCTGTATCTTCTCATCCTCTCCCTCATCCTTCCAATACAACTAAGATGATCCATTATCTCATGCCTCTTCTTTTCTTTCTCCCTTTTCCTTATCTTCTCATCCTCTTTTCCATTATCTCATGCCTCTTCTCATCCTCCTGTATCTTCTCATTCTCTCCCTCATCCTTACAACTAAAGATGATCCATTATCTCATGCCTCTTCTTTTCTCTCTCCCTTTTCCTGTATCTTCTCATCCTCTCCCTCATCCCTTCCAATACAACTAAGATGATCCATTATCTCATGCCTCTGGTCTTCTCTCACCCCTTTTCCTGTATCTTCTCATGCCTCTCTCTTCCTCACCCCCTTCAATCAACTGATGATCCATTATCTCATGCCTCTGCTTTTCTCTCACCCTTTTCCTGTATCTTCTCATTCTCTCCTCATCCTTCCAATACAACTAAGATGATCCATTATCTCATGCCTCTGGTCTTCTCTCACCCTTTTCCTGTATCTTCTCATCCTCTCCCTCATCCCTTCCAATACAACTAAGATGATCCATTATCTCATGCTTCTTCTTTTCTTTCGCCCTTTTCCTGTATCTTCTCATCCTCTCCCTCATCCCTTCCAATACAACTAAGATGATCCATTATCTCATGCCTCTGGTCTTCTCTCACCCTTTTCCTGTATCTTCTCATCCTCTCCCTCATCCCTTCCAATACAACTAAGATGATCCATTATCTCATGCCTTTTCTTTCTCCCTTTTCTGTATCTTCTCATTCTCTCCCTTATCCCTTCCAATACAACTAAGATTAACCATTATCTCATGCCTCTGGTCTTCTCTCACCCTTTGCCTGTATCTTCTCATTCTCTCCCTTATCCCTTCCAATACAACTAAGATGATCCATTATCTCATGCCTCTTCTTTTCTCCCACTTTTTTCCTGTATCTTCTCATTCTCTCCCTCATCCCTTCCAATACAACTAAGATGATCCATTATCTCATGCCTCTGCTTTTCTCTCACCCTTTTCCTCTATCTTCTCATTCTCTCCCTCATCCCTTCCAATACGACTAAGATGATCCATTATCTCATGCCTCTGCTCTTCTCTCACCCTTTGCCTGTATCTTCTCATTCTCTCCCTTATCCCTTCCAATACAACTAAGATGATCCATTATCTCATGCCTCTGCTCTTCTCTCACCCCTTTTCCTGTATCTTCTCATTCTCTCCCTCATCCCTTCCAATACAACTAAGATGATCCATTATCTCATGCCTCTGGTTTTCTCTCCCCTTTTCCTGTATCTTCTCATTCTCTCCCTCATCCTTTCAATACAACTAAGATGATCCATTATCTCATGCCTCTGCTTTTCTCTCACCCTTTTCTGTATCTTCTCATCCTCTCCTCCCTTCCAATACCTGATGATCTATCTCATCCTCCTCCCTCATCCTCTCCCAATACAACTAAGATGATCCATTATCTCATGCCTCTGGTCTTTTCTCTCACCCTTTTCCTGTATCTTCTCATCCTCTCCCTCATCCCTTCCAATACAACTAAGATGATCCATTATCTCATGCCTCTGGTCTTCTCTCACCCTTTTCCTGTATCTTCTCATCCTCTCCCTCATCCCTTCCAATACAACTAAGATGATCCATTATCTCATGCCTCTGGTCTTCTCTCACCCTTTTCCTGTATCTTCTCATTCTCTCCCTCATCCTTTACAACTAAGATGATCCATTATCTCATGCCTCACTTTTCTTTCTCACCTTTTCCTGTATCTTCTCATCCTCTCCCTCATCCCTTCCAATACAACTAAGATGATCCATTATCTCATGCCTCTGCTTTTCTCTCACCCTTTGCCTGTATCTTCTCATCCTCTCCCTCATCCCTTCCAATACAACTAAGATGATCCATTATCTCATGCCTCTGGTCTTCTCTCACCCTTTGCCTGTATCTTCTCATTCTCTCCCTCATCCCTTCCAATACAACTAAGATGATCCATTATCTCATGCCTCTGGTCTTCTCTCACCCTTTTCCTGTATCTTCTCATCCTCTCCCTCATCCCTTCCAATACAACTAAGATGATCCATTATCTCATGCCTCTGGTCTTCTCTCACCCTTTTCCTGTATCTTCTCATCTCTCCCTCATCCTTCAATACAACTAAGATGATCCATTATCTCATGCCTCTGCTTTTCTCTCACCCTTTGCCTGTATCTTCTCATTCTCTCCCTCATCCCTTCCAATACAACTAAGATGATCCATTATCTCATGCCTCTGCTTTTCTCTCACACTTTTCCTGTATCTTATCATTCTCTGCCTCATCCCTTCCAATACAACTAAGATGATCAATTGTCTAATGCCTCTGGTCTTCTCTCACCCTTTGCTTGTATCTTCTCATCCTCTCCCTCATCCCTTCCAATACAACTAAGATGATCCATTATCTCATGCCTCTGGTCTTCTCTCACCCTTTGCTTGTATCTTCTCATCCTCTCCCTCATCCCTTCCAATACAACTAAGATGATCCATTATCTCATGCCTCTGGTCTTCTCTCACCCTTTGCCTGTATCTTCTCATTCTCTCCCTTATCCCTTCCAATACAACTAAGATGATCCATTATCTCATGCCCTCTTTTCTCTCTCACCCTTTTCCTGTATCTTCTCATCCTCTCCCTCATCCCTTCCAATACAACTAGATGATCCATTATCTCATGCCTCTGGTCTCATCACCCTTTTCTGTATCTTCTCATTCTCTCCCTCATCCTTCCAATACAACTAAGATGATCCATTATCTTCTCACCCTTGCCTTCTTCTCTCTCCCTCATCCCTTCCAATACAACTAAGATGATCCATTATCTCATGCCTCTGCTTTTCTCTCACCCTTTTCCTGTATCTTCTCATTCTCTCCCTCATCCCTTCCAATACAACTAAGATGATCCATTATCTCATGCCTCTGGTTTTCTCTCACCCTTTTCCTGTATCTTCTCATCCTCTCCCTCATCCTTCCAATACAACTAAGATGATCCATTATCTCATGCCTCTGGTTTTCTCTCACCCTTTTCCTGTATCTTCTCATCTCTCCCTCATCCCTTCAATACAACTAAGATGATCCATTATCTCATGCCTCTGGTCTTCTCTCACCCTTTTCCTGTATCTTCTCATCCTCTCCCTCATCCCTTCCAATACAACTAAGATGATCCATTATCTCATGCCTCTGGTCTTCTCTCACCCTTTTCCTGTATCTTCTCATCCTCTCCCTCATCCCTTCAATACAACTAAGATGATCCATTATCTCATGCCTCTGGTCTTCTTCCTCTCTCATCCTCTCCCTTTTACCTGATCCATTATCTTCTCATCCTCTCCTCATCCCTTCAATACAACTAAGATGATCCATTATCTCATGCTCTTCTCTGGTTTCCTGTATCTTTCATTCTCTCCTCATCCCTTTACAACTAAGATGATCCATTATCTATCTTCTCTCACCTTTTCCTGTATCTTCTCCCTCATCCCTTCCAATACAACTAAGATGATCCATTATCTCATGCCTCTGCTTCACCCCTTCTCTCACCCTTTGCCTGTATCTTCTCATCCTCTCCCTCATCCCTTCCAATACAACTAAGATGATCCATTATCTCATGCCTCTGGTTTTCTCTCACCCTTTTCCTGTATCTTCTCATCCTCTCCCTCATCCCTTCCAATACAACTAAGATGATCCATTATCTCATGCCTCTGGTCTTCTCTCACCTTTTCCTGTATCTTCTCATTCTCTCCTCATCCCTTCAATACAACTAAGATGATCCATTATCTCATGCCTCTGGTTTCTCTCACCCTTTTCCTGTATCTTCTCATTCTCTCCCTCATCCCTTCCAATACAACTAAGATGATCCATGCCTCTGGTCTTTCTCCTCCTGTATCTTCTCATTCTCTCCCTCATCCCTTCCAATACAACTAAGATGATCCATTATCTCATGCCTCTGTCTTCTCTCACCCCTTTCTCTTCTCATTCTCTCCTCATCCCTTTACAACTAAGATGATCCATTTCTCATGCCTCTCTTCCTCACCCATCCCTTCTCATCCTCTCCCTCATCCTTCAATACAACTAAGATGATCCATTATCTCATGCCTCTGGTCTTCTCTCACCCCTTTTCCTGTATCTTCTCATCCTCTCCCTCATCCCTTCCAATACAACTAAGATGATCCATTATCTCATGCCTCTGGTCTTCTCTCACCCCTTTTCCTGTTCTTCTCATTCTCTCCTCATCCTTCCAATACAACTAAGATGATCCATTATCTCATGCCTCTGGTCTTCTCTCACCCCTTTTCCTGTATCTTCTCATTCTCTCCCTCATCCCTTCCAATACAACTAAGATGATCCATTATCTCATGCCTTTTCTGTATCTTCTCATTTCTCTCATCCCCTACAACTTTCCTGTATCTTCTCATCTTCTCTCCCTCATCCCTCTCCAATACAACTAAGATGATCCATTATCTCATGCCTCTGGTCTTCTCTCACCCTTTTCCTGTATCTTCTCATCCTCTCCCTCATCCCTTCCAATACAACTAAGATGATCCATTATCTCATGCCTCTGCTTTTCTCTCACCCTTTTCCTGTATCTTCTCATCCTCTCCCTCATCCCTTCCAATACAACTAAGATGATCCATTATCTCATGCCTCTGCTTTTCTCTCACCCTTTCCTGTATCTTCTCATCCTCTCCCTCATCCCTTCCAATACAACTAAGATGATCCATTATCTCATGCCTCTGGTCTTCTCTCACCCTTTTCCTGTATCTTCTCATCCTCTCCCTCATCCCTTCCAATACAACTAAGATGATCCATTATCTCATGCCTCTGGTCTTCTCTCACCCTTTTCCTGTATCTTCTCATCTCCCCTCTCCCTTCATCCCTTCCAATCTCATGCCTCTGCTTTTCTCTAAGATGATCCATTCTCTATCTCCATCCAATACAACTAAGATGATCCTATCTCATTTCTCTTCTCCTTTTCCTGTATCTTCTCATTCTCTCCCTTATCCCTTCCAATACAACTAAGATGATCCATTATCTCATGCCTCTGCTTTTCTCTCACCCTTTTCCTGTATCTTCTCATTCTCTCCCTCATCCCTTCCAATACAACTAAGATGATCCATTATCTCATGCCTCTGCTTTCTCTCACCCTTTGCCTGTATCTTCTCATCCTCTCCCTCATCCCTCCAATACCCTTAAGATGATCCATTATCTCATGCCTCTGGTCTTTCTCTCACTCTTTTCCTGTATCTTCTCATCCTCTCCTCATCCTTCCAATACAACTAAGATGATCCATTATCTCATGCCTCTTTTCCTGTATCTTCTCATTCTCTTCTCTTCCCTAAGATGATCCATTTCTCCTGTATCTTCTCATCCTCTCCCTCATCCCTTCCAATACAACTAAGATGATCCATTATCTCATGCCTCTGCTTTTCTCTCACCCTTTTCCTGTATCTTCTCATTCTCTCCCTCATCCCTTCCAATACAACTAAGATGATCCATTATCTCATGCCTCTTCTTTTCTCTCACCCTTTTCCTGTATCTTCTCATTCTCTCCCTCATCCTTCAATACAACTAAGATGATCCATTATCTCATGCCTCTGGTTTCTCTCACCCCCTTTTCCTGTATCTTCTCATCCTTCCTCATCCCTTCAATACAACTAAGATGATCCATTATCTCATGCCTCTGGTCTTCTCTCACCCTTTTCCTGTATCTTCTCATCCTCTCCCTCATCCCTTCCAATACAACTATGATGATCCATTATCTCATGCCTCTGGTCTTCTATCACCCTTTTCCTGTATCTTCTCATCCTCTCCCTCATCCCTTCCAATACAACTATGATGATCCATTATCTCATGCCTCTGGTCTTCTCTCACCTTTTCTCTTCTCATCCTCTCCCCTTCCTTCAATACAACTAAGATGATCCATTATCTCATGCCTCTGGTCTTCTCTCATTCTTCTCATTCTCCCTCATCCCTCAATACAACTAAGATGATCCATTATCTCATGCCTCTGGTCTTCTCTCACCCTTTTCCTGTATCTTCTCATCCTCTCCCTCATCCCTTCCAATACTTCTAAGATGATCCATTATCTCATGCCTCTGGTCTTTCTCTCACCCTTTTCCTGTATCTTCTCATCCTCTCCCTCATCCCTTCCAATACAACTAAGATGATCCATTATCTCATGCCTCTGGTTTTCTCTTTTCACTCTCCCTCATTTCCAATACCTGTATCTTCTCATTCTCTCCCTCATCCCTTCCAATACAACTAAGATGATCCATTATCTCATGCCTCTGCTTTTCTCTCACCCTTTTCCTGTATCTTCTCATCCTCTCCCTCATCCCTTCCAATACAACTAAGATGATCCATTATCTCATGCCTCTGCTTTTCTCTCACCCTTTTCCTGTATCTTCTCATTCTCTCCCTCATCCCTTCCAATACAACTAAGATGATCCATTATCTCATGCCTCTGGTCTTCTCTCACCCTTTGCCTGTATCTTCTCATTCTCTCCCTTATCCCTTCCAATACAACTAAGATGATCCATTATCTCATGCCTCTGCTTTTCTCTCACCCTTTTCCTGTATCTTCTCATTCTCTCCCTCATCCCTTCCAATACAACTAAGATGATCCATTATCTCATGCCTCTGCTTTTCTCTCACCCTTTTCCCTGTATCTTCTCATCCTCTCCCTCATCCCTTCATCTCTCCCTCATACAACTAAGATGATCCATTATCTCATGCCTCTGGTCTTTTCTCTCACCCTTTTCCTGTATCTTCTCATCCTCTCCCTCATCCCTTCCAATACAACTAAGATGATCCATTATCTCATGCCTCTGCTTTTTCTCTCACCCTTTTCCTGTATTTTCTCATCCTCTCCTCATCCCTTCCAATACAACTAAGATGATCCATTATCTCATGCCTCTGCTTTTTCTCTCCCTTTTCCTGTATCTTCTCATCCTCTCCCTCATCCCTTCCAATACAACTAAGATGATCCATTATCTCATGCCTTTTCCTGTATCTTCTCATCTTATCCCTTCACCCCTTTTCCATTATCCATGCCTCTGGTTTTCTTCTCATCTCTTCTCTCCTCATCCCTTCAATACAACTAAGATGATCCATTATCTCATGCCTCTGCTTTTCTCTCGCCCTTTTCCTGTATCTTCTCATTCTCTCCCTTATCCCTTCCAATACAACTAAGATTAACCATTATCTCATGCCTCTGGTCTTCTCTCACCCTTTGCCTGTATCTTCTCATTCTCTCCCTTATCCCTTCCAATACAACTAATATGATCCATTATCTCATGCTACAACTCTGGTCCTCTCTCTCTTTTCTCCCTTTGCCTGTATCTTCTCATTCTCTCCCTTATCCCTTCCAATACAACTAAGATGATCCATTATCTCATGCCTCTTCTTTTCTCCCACTTTTTTCCTGTATCTTCTCATCCTCTCCCTCATCCCTTCCAATACAACTAAGATGATCCATTATCTCATGCCTCTGCTTTTCTCTCACCCTTTTCCTGTATCTTCTCATCCTCTCCCTCATCCCTTCCAATACAACTAAGATGATCCATTATCTCATGAGTCTGCTTTTCTCTCACCCTTTTCCTGTATCTTCTCATCCTCTCCCTCATCCCTTCCAATACAACTAAGATGATCCATTATCTCATGCCTCTGCTTTTCTCTCACCTTTTCCTGTATCTTCTCATTCTCTCCCTCATCCCTTCCAATACAACTAAGATGATCCATTATCTCATGCCTCTGCTTTTCTCTCACCCTTTTCCTGTATCTTCTCATCCTCTCCCTCATCCCTTCCAATACAACTAAGATGATCCATTATCTCATGCCTCTGCTTTTCTCTCACCCTTTTCCTGTATCTTCTCATTCTCTCCCTCATCCCTTCCAATACAACTAAGATGATCCATTATCTCATGCCTCTGGTCTTCTCTCACCCTTTTCCTGTATCTTCTCATCCTCTCCCTCATCCCTTCCAATACAACTATGATGATCCATTATCTCATGCCTCTGGTTTTCTCTCCCCCCTTTGCCTGTATCTTCTCATTCTCTCCTCATCATCCTTCAATACAACTAAGATGATCCATTATCTCATGCCTCTGTTTCTCTCACCCTTTTTCCTGTATCTTCTCATCTCTCCCTCATCCTTCCAATACAACTAAGATGATCCATTATCTCATGCCTCTGGTTTCTCTCACCACCTTTTCCTAAGATGATCTTCTCATTCTCTCCCTCATCCCTTCCAATACAACTAAGATGATCCATTATCTCATGCCTCTGGTTTTCTCTCACCCTTTTCCTGTATCTTCTCATTCTCTCCCTCATCCCTTCCAATACAACTAAGATGATCCATTATCTCATGCCTCTGCTTTTCTCTCACCCTTTTCCTGTATCTTCTCATCCTCTCCCTCATCCCTTCCAATACAACTAAGATGATCCATTATCTCATGCCTCTGCTTTTCTCTCACCCTTTTCCTGTATCTTCTCATTCTCTCCCTCATCCCCTTCCAATACAACTAAGATGATCCATTATCTCATGCCTCTGGTTTTCTCTCACCCTTTTCCTGTATCTTCTCATCCTCTCCTCATCCTTCCAATACAACTAAGATGATCCATTATCTCATGCCTCTGCTTTTCTCTCACCTTTTCCTGTATCTTCTCATTCTCTCCCTCATCCCTTCAATACAACTAAGATGATCCATTATCTCATGCCTCTGCTTTTCTCTCACCCCTTTTCTGTATCTTCTCCTCTCCTCATCCCTTCCAATACAACTAGATGATCCATTATCTCATGCCTCTTCTTTTTTTCACCCCTTTTCCCTGTATCTTCTCATCCTCTCCTCATCCTTCCAATACAACTAAGATGATCCATTATCTCATGCCTCTCTTTTCTCTCACCCTTTTCCTGTATCTCTCACCTTTTCCTTCCAATACAACTAAGATGATCTTCTCATGCCTCTCTTTTCTCCTTTTCCCTCATCCCTTCCCTTCAATACAACTAAGATGATCCATTATCTCATGCCTCTTCTTTTCTCTCGCCCTTTTCCTGTATCTTCTCATCCTCTCCCTCATCCTTCCAATACAATAGATGATGATCTCATTCTTTTCTCTCATGCCTGCCTCCTATCTTCTGGTTTCTCTCATCCTTCTTTAAGATCCATTATCTCATGCCTCTTCTTTTCTCTCACCCTTTTCCTGTATCTTTCTCTCCTCTCATCCCTTCCAATACAACTAAGATGATCCATTATCTCATGCCTCTGGTCTTCTCTCACTTTTTTCCTTATCTTCTCATTCTCTCCCTCATCCCTTCCAATACAACTAAGATGATCCATTATCTCATGCCTCTGCTTTTCTCTCACCCTTTTCCTGTATTTTCTCATCCTCACCCTCATCCCTTCCAATACAACTAAGATCATCCATTATCTCATGCCTCTGCTTTTCTCTCACCCTTTTCCTGTATCTTCTCATTCTCTCCCTCATCCCTTCCAATACAACTAAGATGATCCATTATCTCATGCCTCTGGTCTTCTCTCACCCTTTTCCTGTATCTTCTCATTCTCTCCCTTATCCCTTCCAATACAACTAAGATGATCCATTATCTCATGCCTCTGCTCTTCTCTCACCCCTTTTACATTTTGTATCTTCTCATCCTCTCCCTCATCCTTCCAATACAACTAAGATGATCCATTATCTCATGCCTCTGCTTTTCTCTCACCTTTTTTCCATTTCTCTCTTCTCATCCTCTCCTCATCCCTTCCTTTTCTCTCAACTAAGATGATTTCCATTATCTCTTCCCTTCAATACAACTAAGAGATCTGCTTTTCTTTTCTCTCCCTTTTCCTGTATCTTCTCATCCTCTCCCTCATCCTTGTCAATACAACTAAGATGATCCATTATCTCCTTCACCTCTGGTCTTCTCTGCCATCCCCCTTTTCCTGTGGTCTTCTCTCATTTCTCTCCCTCATCCCTTCCAATACAACTAAGATGATAAAACCCTTCTTTTTTTTTCCCCTTTTTTTTTCCCCTTTTTTCCTTTTCCCTTTTTTTTTCCCCCCCCCCCCCCTTTTTTTTTTTTTCCTTTTCCCCTTTTTTTCCCCTTTTTCCCCCCATTTCTCCTTCCCCCCCCTTTTTTTTTTTTTTTTCTTTCCCCCCCCCCCCTTTTAAAAAGGCCCCTTTCTTCCCCCCCCTTTTCCCTTTAAAATTTTCCTTTTCTTTTTCTTTTTTTCCTTTCCCCCTTTTTTTTCCCTTTTTTTCCCAAACCCTTTTTTCCCCTTTTTTTTTTTCCTTCCCCTTTTTTTTTTTTTTCCCCTTTTTTTCCCAAAAAATTTTTTTCCCCCCCCCCCTTTCCCCTTTTTCCCCTTTCCCCCTTTTTTTTTTCCCCCCTTTTTTTTTTTTCCCCCTTTCCCCCTTTTTTTTTTTTTTTTAAATTTTTTTTCCCCCCCCCTTTTTTTAAAAAAAATTTCCCCTTTTTTTTTTTTTCCCCTTTTTTGGGTTTTCTCACCCCCTTTTCCCCCCCTTCCAAAACCCCCCCCTTTTTTTTTTTTTTTCCCTTTTTTTTTCTTTTTTTTCCCCCCTTTTTTTCCCCCCCCAACCCCCTTTTTTTTTTTCCCCCTTTTTTTTTTTTTTCCCCTTTTTTTTTCCCCCCCCCCCCCTTTTTTAAAAAACCCCCCCCTTTCTTTTCCCCCCCCTTTTTTTTCCCTTTTTTTCCTTTTCCCCCCCCCTTTCCCCAAAAATTTTTTTTCTTCCCCCCTTTTTTTTTCCTTCCCCCCCCTTTTTTTCCCCTTTTTTTTTTTCCTTTTTTTTGCCTTTTTTTTTTCCTTTTCCCTTTTTTCCCCCCCCCCCCTTTTTAAATTTTTTTTCTTTTTTCTTTTCCCCCCCCTTTTGGCCCCTTTTTTTTCCCCCTCCCCCAAACCCCAAAAATTAAAATCCCTTTTTTTTCCCCTTTTTTTTTCCCTTTTTTTTCTTTTCCCCCCCCCCTTTTAAAATTTTTTTTTTTCTTTTTTCCCCTTTTCCCAATTCTTCTTTTCATTCGCATTTTCACTGTCTTCTCCTCCTCCCCTCCTTCCCAATACGACTAAGATAATCCATTATCTCATGCTTCTTTTTTCTTTTTTTTTTTTTTTCCCCCCCCCCCCTTCCCCCCCCAAAAAAAAACCCCCTTTTCCCTTTTTTTTCCCCCCCCTTTTTTTTTTTCTCATCCCCCCTCCTTCCCCTTCCCAAAAAATAAAAACCCCCTTTTTTTTCCCCTTTTTTTTTTTTATCCTTTTCCCCCCTTCCCAAAACCCCAAAAAACCAAATGGGCCCCCCCTTTTTTTTTTTTCCCCTTTTTTTTTTTCTCCCCTTTCCCCCTTTTTTAATAAAAAAACCCCCTTTTTTTTCCTTTTTTTTTTTTTTTTCCCCCCTTTCCCCCCCTTTTTTTCCCCCAAAAAAAAAAATTTTTTTTCCCCCCCTTCCCCCTTTTTTTTTTTTCACCCCTCCTCCCCCCCAAAACCCCCAAAAAAAATTTTTTTTCTTTTTTTCCCCCTTTTTTTTTTTTTCCTTTCCCCCCCCCCTTTCCCCCCCGGGCCAATTTAAAAGCCCCTTTTTTCCCCTTTTTTTTTTTCCCCCTTTTTTTCCCTTTTTTCCCCCCTTTTCCCCCCAAAAAAAAAAAAAATTTTCCCCGCCCTTTTTTTCTCCCCTTTCCCCCTTTTAAAAATTTTAAAAAATTTTTTTTTCCTTTTCCCTTTTTTTTTCTTTTCCCCCCTTTTTTCCCCCCCAACCCCCCCTTTCCCCCCAATTTTTTCCCCCCCCCTTTTTTTCCCCCCTTTTTTTTTTTCCCCCTTTTTTTTTAAAAATTTTTTCCCCCTTTTTTTTTTTTTTTTTTTCTTTTCCCCTTTTTTTTTCCCCCCCCCTTTTTTTTCCCTTTCTCATCCCCCCCTTTTTTTTTAAAATTTCCTTTTTTTTTTCCCCTTTTTTTCCCCCTTTTTTTAAATTTTCCCCTTTCCCCCCCCTTTTCCCCCCCTTTTTTTTCCTTTCCCCCTTTTTTTTTTTTCCCCTTTTTTTTCTTTTTTTCTTTTTTTTTTTTTTCCCTTTTCCTTCCTTTTTTTTTTTTTTTTTCCCCCCCCCTTAAACCCCCCCCTTTTTCCCCCCCCCTCCCCCCCCTTTTTTTTTTTTTTTTTTTTTTCCCCCCCCCCCCTTTTTAAAACCCCCCCCTTTTTTTTTTCCTTTTTCCCCCTTTTTTTTTTTTTCCTTTTCCCCCCCCTTCCCCCTTTTCCCCCCAAAAATTTTTTTTTTTTTCCCTTTTTTCCCCCTTTTTTTTCCCCCCCTTTTTTTTTCCCCCCTTTTAAAAAAACCCCCCCTTTTTTCCCCCCCCTTTTTTTTTTTTTCCCCTTTTTTTCCCCCCCCCTTTTTTTTCCCCCCCCCCAAAACCGGGGTCCATTATCTTGGGTTTTTTTTTTTTTCCTTTTTTCTTTCCCTTTTTCCCCCCCCTTCCCCCAAAAAAAATTTTTTAAAAACCCCTTTTTTTTCCCCCCCCCTTTTTTTTCTTTCCTCCCTCCTTCCCCCAAAAAAAGGGTTTAAAACCCCCCCCTTTTTTCCCCCCCCTTTTTTTTTTTTTTTCCTTTCCCCCCCCCCCAAAAAACCAAAATTTTTTTTCTTTTTCTTTTCCCCCCTTTTTTTTTCCTTTTCCCCCTTTCCCCCCCCTTTCCCCCAAAACCCTTTTTTT